CATAGATATATGATAGACTTTCAATTACATGCAGGAATATGTTTCATTTAAATATTAGAATTTTTTTCCCCAAAAATAATTAAGTATAACATGATTTAGATTTTGAAAAATATATTCCCTGCACGTCTTCCAGTTTTTAACCAATCAGAGAGCAGTATAGTGACACTCCCCCAGTGGGCACATTCGGTTGAATTATTTAATAACTATAGTTTACCTGTAGTAAGTATATATGATATGTATGATATTGGGAATGGCATAAACAAAACATTTCATAGACTTAGTTTAAGGAAGTTTCTTTCATAGCTTGTCGTTGACGTCTTTTTATTTTTAGCAACAGGATGATGAAGTATGAAATCATACTGAAATTTTTACTTTGTTCAAAGAAATTGTATTTATATTAGTGAAATGTTAGTTTCGCATACTTTGGCAGGAAATCAGCAATCAATGTTGTTCACTTACAAGGTACAAGTTTCAGATATATAAGAAATGAGCTGTTTGTGTTTTTACTTGCATTTCTAAAAAATGAGATTCAGGTACTTTTCGTTTCATGTTGTTTAATACTTACAAAAATTATTAAAAACTGTCAGTGCAGAAATGGTTCTTTGATTTTTATGACATGTAATGAATTCTTATCAATATTTTTATGTTCCCTATTAAAGTACGAATTCTGTGTGTGATTATAAGTCGGTTTGTTGGTCAGAAATTTTGTCCTGATTGATCTACACCTCGACAACAATAAGAACAAAAAGATTTGATATTACATTACATCCCTTCAGAGTGGCAAGTCCCTGTTATAACCCCAAAAAATTATAAATAAAAGTCATTTTCCACATTGAGAATTTGTAGCCTTTTTTTTAAAAAAACTTTTGGAGTGACAGTTTGAAATGTTTGATTTCCAAGTCGGAAGATAAAATCAAAGTTCTAGAAAGTACTGATTGATGGGGATAATACTAGCTTAAGGTCTTCAGCGTACCCGTTTATATACTATGACATGACGTGAACGCTGAAGATAACCCCGTAGGGAAAGTCCACCAATAATCGTGCCAGGAATCTGACACGCTCGTATTTATTCATCGAACATGCCATGAAGTAAAGTGAAGCATACCTTGATAAAACTATATATAATCTGTTGATAAGCCAAGGATGGACAAATAAAATCTTATTAGGACATAAACTACTAAATAGTTTCCGACAGGTAAAAAATTTCGGCACTTGGCCGCCATATTGCCAAAAATGTTTGACCACGTGATTACGAGATTGACCTTTATGAACCCATGTGCCTCCAATATTTTTTATACATTACTTTTTTTAAAGATATTGAAAAAAGGTGATTTACTGGACTTTTATATTCAATAAAATCATATTTAAAGTACTGAAAAATTTATGAAAATAAATAAAAACATTATCTTGAATAAAAATATTGAAATCATGTCAACAAAATGTTCTAAATATAGTACACGACTCTATTCAAATCTGTTCCCGCGAATGACGTCAAACGAGGTCTCGCGTGGCACCTGAATGTCATGGCCGACTGTAGTCGGCGTAAATTGATGTTTTACAGTTAAATAGGCATTTTAATGACGGTATTAATATTTTGATACTTTAATTGGTATAGAATGATATTAAAATAATTGTTTTATCGTAAAATGCACAAGAATTGATTCGGTCAAGTGTATTTGCAAGTGAAAAACAAGAATAAATCAACTAATGTTATTCTGGTTAGGTTTCGTAACGGGTCTAATCCAAAACTTTAATGCCGCATCAGATGAAAAACAAAAATGTTAAAGAGCGGCTTATAAAGTTTTGGAGGCCAGAACTAGGATAATACAAATTATGAAAAATTAATCATAAATACATTTTTGTATTTTCCATTCCACTCGAACGTATTAGGGGCTTAATCTATTTGAATAAACTCATTCTATAAAGCTTTTTTCATTCTTCATTCTGGCCACAGGCAGTAGAGTCCTTAAAGTGACCTTTAATTTTTCTTATAAAGGTTAAATATGTTTTTTTTTTACATAAATCGTTTCGTATAATTGTCAAATTTAAAAGAATTAAGGTAGAAATGAAATTTGTTGACGATTTAATACATAAACAATAAGGATACCCCTTGATACCTCTTATTTACAGGTCTGCTCTCTATATGTAAATTAGTAAAGCGGTTGAATCCTTTCACGATCTTCTAATTTTAAAAATGAACGTCATTGACGCATTATAAATAGCTCTTGCAACGCTATTTTAAAGAAGACTTTTCAGTAACGTGATGCATTTTTGAAAGATTGAATTACTGAAATACTTAATTTGAAACAACACAGAATTGTTTTTCCAAATGAAAATTAAAACTTAAGATCACTTTAAACAATCATAAAATAAATCAAATAAAACCCAAATAACACAAACTACCCCAAAAATTATTGACAATATTGACTTTCAAGTATGGTTTTTATTTGATTCATTGATCTTTTTATTTTTGGCGACACTATGAAGTTTTAAATCGTACTGTAATATCTATTTCTTTCAAAGGAATTATATTTTTCAGCGAATTGTTAGTTTCAAATATTTTGGCGCTGAGTTTTATGTTTCCACTAAATCAGAAATGAGCTGTTTGGGTTACTATTTACAAACATTTCTGTAAAATGATATAGGTCAATATATCTATTTACTTTTGTTTCATGTTACGACTTAAAAAAACTGTTAAAAATTGTCAATGCAGAAATGCCCGGTTCTTTGGTTTTTATTGCCTGTTATGAATTCTTATCAATATTTTCATGTCCCCCAAAGAGTTAAAGTATTTGCCGTCTCTGATAGTTTGTGTCAGACATTTTGTATCCAGTATTTCCAGAGTTATTACCCTTGACTCAGTAAAAACTGTTTCATTATGTTGTGTGATGCGTTCTTTGAATGCTAAAGTTAGAATCAACCAGCTTAACAGGAATAATGATCAACATCACTGTGAAGTTGTGCACCTTAGGTTCTGCATGTGGATTTTTTCCCCAGTTTTATAAGAGTTATTGCCCTTGACTTAGTATAAATTTGCAACTTTCAACTTGTTCATGCATAGCTCAAAAAGTATTTGACCTATAGGCCTGAAAGTTTACAAGAATGTTGGTCAGCATATGTACTTATGCACCTTGAGGTTTTCTTGTGGATTTATTCAGTATTAAATTTTGTTAAGTTCTTGCCCATACCTTAGTGAAAGATTTTTACATTTCGCAAAAATTTTAACTTGCGTGATAATAAATACTTGATACAGATTTTAATTAATATATGACGTGGTAGCATACTGGAATTTTTATTTCTTTCAAAGGAATTATATTGATTTGCATATATTTTGGCAAGAAATCAGAAAGACTGATCGAGTTTTATATTTCCAATAAAAAAGAAATGAGCTGTTTGGGTTTTTTTATTTACAAATATTTCTAAAAATGATATACACGTAGGTCAAAATATTTATGTAGTTTTCCCTTTCATGTGTTGACTTAAAAAAATTTATTAAAAAATTGTCAATGCAGAAATGGGTTCTTTGAGTTTTATTACCTTTAATGAATTCTTATCAATATTTTTATGTCCTCCCAAAGGATTTAAAGTATTTGCTTTGTTTGATAGTTTATCTTCCAGAAATTTTTAATTTTGTCCTGATCGCTCTTCACTTTGACACTCGTTCAACGGAACGGACAGCAAGAACAAAAAAGATTCGATATTACATTATATCCCCATTACATCCCTTCAGAGTGTATTCCCTACTATAAACCACAATTATTTATATTTAAGTCAATTTTCCGCATTTTTAAAGTTTGAGTTGTTGGATTTCCAATCAAAGCTGTTGTAATCAAGTCAGTATTTGCTTGTCATCGCGGTCTTCTTATTTTTGGCAACAAATCATACTGGAATTTTTATTACGTTCAAGGAAATTATATTTACATGTATATCAGTGAAGTTTCACATATTTTGGCAGGATATTAGTATTCAGTATATTATTGACGTGCAGTGTTTATTAGTGCAAAGATGACTTTTAAGTTTCAGATAAATTAGAAATGAGCTGTTCCGGGTATTTATTGTTCATAAATGTTGTACTTTCGTTTCATGTTGTGCGTTGCAAAATTGTGATGAATTGTCAATGCAGAAATACATTCTTTTCATCTTAGCTCACAAGAACACGTCATGCTCAAGGTCAACTATTGGCATCATTCACCATCCTGGGTTTGTCCATCCGTCCACAATTCTTTAAACAACATCTCCTCCCAGACCACTGTGAAAGTCAATAATATATAATCTGTCAAGGAATGCTTTTACTGGCTAGGGTGAAGTTGTTCAAATAAAATAATTACTATAGTTAGGTATTGTTACAGTCATGGCGGCGTTAACAAGTTTTAAAAGTTGAGTGTTGTCCAGCAGAGCTGTGGCTCTGTTTCAAGTTATGGATTGTAATTTAAAACAAAAAGGGGAAGTAACTGTGATTAAAAACTTAAAATTTGAATACAAGTATTCTCTCCCTTAGAAAAATTTATTTGCTTAAATTTTTCAAGGATCCTTGGTTTTTGCTTTAGATAATGAATAATTATGAAAAAAAAAAAAAATGGATTTTAACTTTTCAAAATGATGGCTGCTTGAGCATAGAATATAGAACATTTAACTTTAAACTGCAGTTAAAATGTTATGACATTTTCTTCCCTGTTTCTCTCCAACTTTTATTCTACAGTTTAAAAAACGATGTTAACGGTTTTAAACTGTTCACTCTTTAAAGGAGACTTTGTGTAAGCGGCTGGATATTTCAGTTGGTAGAGCCATGGAACGGTATCAGAGAGTCCCGAGTTTGAGTCCCGTTCAAGCTGCACATTTTTCTCTTCCTGTGACAACAAAATACTGTTGGCACAGTAAGGCAGTCACATTCAACGCATTGTCATACATATGTTTTTAATTGTATGATTAATGTTTGTTTAAAAAGAAAAAGGAAATTTTTCTATCAACTAATCTTTAATTTTGTTATTTGTATATTTCAGATACACAAGGAATCTGGTAAATGATGGAAATGGAAAGTTCAACTTGATGATTCTCTGTTGGAATGAGGCCCAGGGTTCCAGCATTCATAGTCATGCAAATGCTCATTGCTTCATGAAGGTAGACTGGTTTTACTCTTTAAGTCTGAGTCACTTAGATGCTTAGAAATGTAATGATAAATATAGAATGGTTCACATTTTCTTGATGAATCTGTCACATGTCCATTTGTCTTTCAATCCTGAGATGGTTGGTTTCATTAGCATAACTTTTGAAGGATTTATATAATATATATAACCTAGGTAAAGTTGTATTTTCGATGTAATCAACTCATAATTAATCAAGTTATTCCCCTATTTAGGCAATTTTTAAGTGAAATTATTGGTTTTGACAGAATACATGTAACTATATAAGGATTTCAGTGTTTTATATTTGGCGTGTAAGTACCGTAACTTATATCAAAACACAGTCCAAGCTCCCAATCAAGTTTATAATCTGAGCCAGTTACAACAATAAATTTTCCAACTCTCTTTCAGACACATTTTGTCTAAAATTTGCCATTGGGGTCTCATCACAGATCTTGGTTAGTTGGTAACTGCAGTATCATAATTGATATTGTCAAAATATTTAAAAGGGAGAAATACAATAAATAGTTTTGTCCAGAAAGAAAAATAGACAAGTTCTTTAAAAAGGAATAGACAAGTCTATTTGAAAAAAATGGACAATGCCATGTTTAGCACGGACAGGGTTAAGTAATCTTTAAGGTTCTATTTATAGATATTGGATGGACAGGGTTAAGTAATCTTTACGTTCTATTTATAGATATTGGATGGACAGGTTCAAGAGCAGCAGTTTGATTGGCCGTCAGAATCTGACCCTGAGAAAGAAATGACTGTGCAACGGGTGGCCATGCATAAGAAGAACGAGGTCGCCTACATCTGTGGTGAGCCATAGTTTGTACTCGTAAAATAAAGAAATTTGAATATGAGATATACTTTGAATGATGCAAAAATATGCCTCAGGTTTTGGTAAGCCTGAATATTGTAAATAAATAGTCAAATTTAAATGAAAGCTTATATTTTAACATTGTTGGATGCTTTTATACACCCAAAGATCTTCTGATGTGTTATGGTATATGGTGTTGTCTGTCCGTCTGTCAATCCGTTAAAATTTGAGATAATAAAATATGACAAGAACCAGATGGCCTACAACTGTGTTGAAGCCGAATTTAAAATGAATTTGAGCCGCGTCACGACAAAACCAACATAGTGTGTTTGCGACCAGCATGGATCCAGACCAGCCTGCGAATCCGCACAGTCTGATCAGGATCCATGCTGTTCGCTATCAGTTATTCTACTTGTAATAGGGTTGGTAAGCGAACAGCATGGATCCTGATCAGACTGCACGGATGCGCAGGCTGGTCTGGATCCATGCTGGTCGCAAACCCATTATGTTGGTTTTGTCATGGCACGGCTCGTTTGAATTTGAAATATACAGTGAATGATGCAGAACACTTTTTTGATCTGCCCACTTTGACCTCAGTAACGAGAGCATCGTATTTGGAATGTAGGGGTTGTGGTTTGATCATCAAAGCGAGAGGAAATAACTCTGTGTGACAGTTGATCACAAACATTGAGTCTAATGGTCATTTGTCTCTCTCCACTGAAATCAAAATCATCTGAGATAAGTAGCTGATCCATTGGGGAGAAATTGGCAATTTATTACTGGTTAGTTATACAGGAAAACTCTATGGTTGGACTGCCAGAATATTACCAAAAATGTGTTGAATGAAATCGGTGTAAAAATGGAACAAATAAACAAACAGCTTTCGATTTCATTAAGAGCTCTTTCATTTGCAGATACATGTATGTTTTCAATCCCTACGTTACATAAGACTATGGTGACACCTCTGACTGGATATTTAATTAATGGCATCGTATAATGTTATCTCTTTGTTATTGCAGATGAGATAGGCCTTCATCGGGTTGAGAACCCAAGTCATTCTGACAAAGCCGTCACCTTGCACTTGTATTCACCACCATTTGATGAGTGTGACACTTTTGATGAGAAGACAGGTCACAAAAATAGATGTCAAGTGACTTTCTGGAGCAAGTTTGTAAGTTTTAAATTTAAAATTGCTATAAAGGGGTGGGGCTTTCAAATGTAAAATTAATAATAAGGGGTGTGGCTATCAGCTGAGGGTGTGGCTGTAAGGAGTGGTTAAGAGTGCTGGGTGTGGCTGTTTGTCACATAAACTTTAAAGGAGGCTCTATAGGTAGCTCAATAGGTAGAGTGTTGGACTGTGAATCAGGCAACCTGGGTTCAATTCCCAGATGATGCTTTGTGATTGATGATGAAATCCTTTTACTGTCATTCACACTGTACCTTTGCTGTTGCATGTATGAAAGGGAGAAAGTGGAGGCATCTAGTACTGGTAAACTGCTTGCTGTAAACTGCTAACAGCCTGCCCAAGAACGATGTAATGGCTGAACTGTGTTCTGATGAACTCAAAATGGCTTACTGCACTTGATCAGGATCAAGGTTGAAGTGAATCTTGATTGAAAATCAATGTGTGCTCAATGACTTGAGAGGAATAAGCCAAGATTTGTGAAACTTGGTTTGGACATTGCCCTTTGCCAGTAGATGACCCCTATTGACTTTGAGGTCATAGGTCAAGGTCACAATGACACTTAGTGTAAAATCATTATCTGCTCAATAACTTGAAAAGGAATAAGCCATGAAAATAAACAACCAAATTGTTGGCACATAATATATATATACATCTATATTTTTTAGCATACAGCGCTTAATTAGATTTTATTTGTGTTTAAATTACAGGGAAAGAGAGAATCAGATGGTTCCAGCAGTCCAGAGAACAACTAGAGTCATATACATGTATACAGACGGACAGATAGACAGACAAGTATAGCAGCTATGTTAAATGGACATTAGAATTTTTGGACAATGACACCTCAAACTTTGTAGTATACACACACATATATATATATATATACCCAGAGTCTTATAACGCTGTGTTAAGCCTGGATCTTTCTAGTTAATATACATATACATATTGCATAATATATTTTTTTACACAGTGTCTTATAACATTAGAACACAGTATTATCTATTGGAATTGTTACACAAGTTTATTAGGCATATAGAAAAAGTAGATAAATATTATATAGGAACTTATTATTCAGGATTATAGTTGAGTTGACTTAGTGCAGTAACGGGTAAGCACCTTATATCATTCATAAAGAGTTAGCCCGTTACTGCACTGAGGTGATGATACACAACCAAAGAAAAAATTATAGCTGCTGAAACTACTTTATAACTCATTAAGTTTTATTGTTATTTAGATTTTAGCTTACAAACTTTCAAATTCATGAACTAGCATTTTGTATTAAAACTAAGATTTTATTTTAGTACCAGTCTAAAATTAGTTTGAGTACCACAGACTGACTTTATTTAAAGCTTAGATTTTTAAAACAAGTCTAAAATAAGTTTCTGTTCCAGTCTGACTTGATAAACAGTCAAAATTTTCAAAAGCAGTCTAAAATTAGTTTGAGTACCAGTCTGACTTGATATAAAGCCAAGATTCTAAAAAAAAAAAACAGTCAAGTGTGAAAATATGTAAAATTGATTACCTGTCACAAATAACGACATAAGGACTTGATTGTGATTGGTAAATTATTGTTTTGAACCAACCAATCAGGTCGCATTGTATGAGAATGGCTTATAATTAACAATTTCTTATTGTGTGGATAACTTATGAAAATGTTATATGTTATGAAAAAATGTTGATGTGTAGATTTCTTGTAGATCTCATCAAACAACTTAACATTTCATCTATTTGGCAAATCATGACATTGTCTCTTTTATTGTTATGCATTAAATGCAGAAAAAAAAATGTACTTTTTAAAAAAATTACGAAAATTAAGAATCCATGAAAGCTTTTGATGGAAACAAGTTGGGCAATACCTAGGCTCTTCCTCCACCAGAATGCAGAAGCTGGGCTTAGCCACCATTGAACCAAGGATTGGCCTCCATCTGTTAGTGGTATATAGGTAATTTCTCATTCAGTTAAACTGAAAAGCTGTGTTGTGACTTTTTTTAAAGTGTCAGTAAAACTGGAAAAAAATTGGTTTCAAAAAAAAAATATTTTGAAGACTATATTAAGGAATTGTTTGTCACCTTATTGCTGTAATGGGTTAAATTCTTATTTAAATTAATAGGAGTTAACCTGTTACTGCACTAATGTGACATAATACTCTTCGAGTACATCTTTAATGAGCGTCTGAATGTATGAAATTTTTAACTTTGAATGAATGTGGGTGAGTGACGATGCAATATAAGTGCTATAGCTTAAATCCAGGCCTCCAGGTTATAATTTTATTTCTGAGTTTTGACTCAAATCTCAGGATTTTCATTGGACAGTGTACATTCTGAGCTGGTTTTTTGACCAATCAAATAACCTGAGATCTAAGTTTGAGCTTGGGGAAAATTTCTTTATAACTTCTGGGCCAGGAGTGCTACGGTTAAAGAATATGCAGTCAAACTTGTAATAAAGAACACTTCTAATAAAGACCACTTCTAATAAAGACCACTTCTAATAAATAATTTAAGATCTACCTGTAAATAAAGACCACTCTTTGTGAAATCCTTCATTTAAAAAAAAATAACAAATTAACCTCCAAGTAAAGTCCACTTGTCTTTAAAGGACATGCAATTTACATACCATTATTAATATAGAATGTATAATGACTTTGGCGTGTTGCCAAGTTGTTAAGATTGTTTATTTCAAATCACTTGCCCCCTCACAGTGAATTTAATCTGTCTCAGGATTGGAATTCTTTCATTTGTCAAATGTCCAGCTGGTTATTGAAGGTTGTACGCTATCTCATGTCAGATGTTAATAACAGAGTGTCACATGAGAGTCGTCCTTGACCCGTAAAGTTTGAAGGTCGCCATTTGACCTTCACATTGTCAAATGTGACTTAAAAGCTTAATAATGTTCATTTACAGTAAACTCTTCTTAGATTTAAAACTGGAATACTTCTCTTTTGATGTATGAAACAGTTACGAAAATCTGTTGGGTTGGGTTTTTTTATTGTCAAAATAAAATTTAATTTCAACTTTTTTTATCAATTTTTTTTCTTTTTATATTGTTTTGTTGTTTTTTTTATTTCTGTGTAAAAAATGAAAGAATTTTGTTTTGTTTGATTTAAAAAAAAAAAAAATTGTGATTTTATTATTACACGCTTATTGTGGTTTTGGATGTACACTTATGTATTGTATAGATAATAGATGATGTATTATGGACTTTATTATTGAATAATATGCATTAAAGTGGATTGGTCCATAGTCGGCACATTTTCTACAAGTATTTCATATATGATAAAAACAATGGAAATGTATCATTTGGATATTCTGATAAAATGTTGCTTGAAATAAAAATGTTGATAAAGTTATAATTTAGAATGAACATTTATATGATATATAATAATATTTTGCTCTTGAATATTTTATTATCTGCTTTATGTATGTATAATCTCGGGTTATGTTTCTCGCAATTGCCAACATGTTTAATTTTTTTGTGTGTTTTTTTTTTGTTATGTCTAATACTAAATACTATCAACGTAATAATTATTCATTGAATTACAGACCTGCCATTATAGACCAATTCACTTTAATTTGTTTGAAAATTAAGTTCAACTAATTGCACTTTCTGTTGAGATTTTGAGCTATTCTATGTATGGGCAATGTTTCCAAAAGGCGAGAATTTCGACCCGCTAAACTCAAATATCTCAAAATCTAGCTTCAAAGGTCCAAATATTTGACTCACCTAATATATGTACCGGTGTATTGTATAATGTTTTACTCTTGTACTTGAACATCATTGCATTGCCTTTCTTTCAGTCTTTTTTCATTATATTCACTGTATCATAAAATCCATTTACTTATTTACTTACACTAAACTGATTCTGTGAAATAAGTGTTTATATGCCACCACTTTTGGAGCGGAATTGGTGTGGGTGGGGGGGGGATATACTATACATGCCTTTTCCTAGTATCACCAAAGGTCAGATTACCAGACCCATTCCAAATGGCAAATATGCTTATATTTTCCCAATCTTTAAAGAAATTCCCGATGGTACTGAACTTCTCAATATCAAAACTGACAAATTTGCAGAAGTTTGTTCCAGCTGTCTGCCGCTTAACCGGATCATTTGCTTTATCTGGTTTTCCTGAATAAACGTGTAAATTGTGCAAAATATTCCAAAAACATAAGGCATTTAAATGCTGTTAATTAATCAAATGGGGCTAGGAATTGCATAAATTAAATACACTTTCGAGTTAATTCTGAGCATATTTCTTTATATTCTTTTGATTTTTTTTTTCATTTTGATCGGTCAAGCTGATCTATATAAAAATAAAATGTATATGATTTTAGGTTTTTGTATCTCAAGGGTGGTAATTAAGTTATAACTAAAGGGAGGTAATAGGTATTACAAACAGAGTCTATATAGGGACATATACTCGGGGTGGCTATATTATTCATTTGAACTGTTTTCTTGTAGATTTTTGTTGAGTACTGTTATTGTATTACTATCCACATGGTTTTATTCAAGTTAGATTAATTTTCACAAAATATTCATTCACAAATCAATTTCTAAATGAATTCATAGTTATCCTAAATAAATAGGTTCGGCCACAATTGCGAATATCTTATTTTTTTTTCAGCTACACTTTCAATTTTGAATATGATGGTAACGAAAATTTACAAATATGAGGAGAAAGGCAAATACTGATCTTGGTGGAAAAAAATTTTAAAAAAAGAATCTAAAGCTTTCTAAAGTATAGATAAGATTTGTTATATTTTTTTGTTTTTATAATTATTTATCTGAGGTTACATCATTATGATTCTTTTCATTAAAAATGGTTTGTTAATAAAGGGATATATATTTAGTGTAAAATTGATTTTTGAAATTTTTGTTCTATCGCTGTATCATTTTGGTACGTACATGTATAGGCATAATTTTTTAACATAGGAGAAATAAAACAACTTTTGAGTTTGGCAAAGAAAATGCACGCTTGTTCACCAAATGACTTATATTTATTAATGTAAAAGAAAATATGATAAAATTTATGACTTGTTAGTGTTTATTATTAACTGTTTTGATCACATCACATTTGACATCATTTACTTTGTAAACAAACACAGCATTAAAAAAAGCATTAAAGCGCACTAATGTTAGTGTTACACTTTAGGCGCATCAAAGAAAAAATGGCTCTTTTTTAACTGTTAACCGTTCTTATTTTGAAAATGTGATAAAAAGAATATTATATTCGTATAGATTCAATATTAAATTTATTGAATGAGGCTCGCATAATATGATTTTATTCAACTCGTTCAATAAATTTAGTATTAAACCTATACTTATTCAATATCCTCTATATATATGTTAAGATAGAACATCTCAAGATTCAGCATAATATCATTGTGTATGATAAACTGTTCACTTTGTGGGACCTTTTAGCATTTGTGTATATCAACATTATTTGTAATTAATCAGACTGAATAAAAACATGTTTGTGAAGTCAGTTTTTAGCTTGATTATTATGCCCCCCTCCCCCAACAAATGAAGTTTGTGGGGGTATACTGGAGTCAGCTGTTGGTCGGTCGGTAGGTCTGTTGCAGATTTTTTGTCCGGGACATAATTCAGAATGTACAAGATACCATCTTTAAATTTTGTAGATATATCTCATTGAGTAGAAGTGCAGTGCACAAGAATCATAACTCTGCCTTGCCTAATTTTGGAGTTATTGACCTTTGTTCATTTTTACACTTTGAACATTGTCCAGGACAAAACATGAGAACTATAAAGGTAAGTTTAAGGTATTAACTTGAAACTTTGTAGGAAGATATCTACCTAACAAAGTTATAGCCAGTTACAGGGACTAAATGAAAATTTCAATAATTTGACCTTTAATCTCAAGGTCATTTATGACAGAAGGTCAAGGTCTGTCTGATTATCGTGAAGAGGAAGGTATAATCTAACATATTATTTTGTTCACGTTTGAAGACAATCCATTCAAAAAATAACAAAGTTATAGTCACTAATAGCAAAAAACAGCAAAACAACAAGCAAAATTTAGATCTTTTATGAATGAAGGTCAAGGTTAGTGTAGTCTACTCCAAGGGTTGTTTTGACCAAGTATAAAGACAATACACCAATAACTTTGTTAGCGGACGGCAACGACTATGGCAACGGCAACGCCGACATGACTGTAACAATACCTCTGGGGTGGGGGTTGTTGTTGCTTTTTTTTTACCAACAAAACACAAGTCAAGCTAACTAAAAATGGTTGGTAGAAGATCAGCGTATGTCATTGAAAAACAATTGTATATTTATCGTAGTGGGTTGTAAATATATTTTTGATGAAATCTGTTCTGTATATAGACTAAATGAAATAACTTCTCCTCAGTTAGTCATTGGTTTTAAACTTATAAATTCAAGTGTGGGTTAATTTTGACTGAAGATGTATCCCATGCCCGTCGGCCTAAACCAGCAACGTCTGTCAAGATGGTTGCTAAACGAAAGAATTAGATCTAGTTAATATCGATACAAGATACACCACTAAACAAATAGCTAGTATTGTTTGCATCTTATTCGGAGCCGTTCATACCGTTATCAACCTTGATTTGAAAATGAGAACGATCTGTGTGTGGTATATGGATTCCTCATTTGCTGACAGATGAGCAGAATAAGGTTCGCATGCAATGCAAAGTTGTTGCTTCAACAGTATCCAAATCACAATGCAAGGTCTTTTGAAAATGTGGTCACATATGACGAAACAAGGGTTTATTTTTATGAGCCATAACAAAAACACCAAAACATTTGGGCTACAAAGTCTAAAAAATCCGTTCAGTTAAACATCTCCATTCTGAAATATTCCAGTGCCTTAACATAGTGTAAAAATATATGCCAAAATACTAAGAAAATACACATGTACCGTTAAAAAAGATTGGATCCGGATACTGAAACTTTGAATATATATTAATGGTGAATACTTTGAGGGAACAAAAATCAGTGAAAACTATAAAGAACCAAATTTTACGTGCTAAGATGCATTCATATTTGAACACTTCTCGTATTATATGTAACAAAATGACTGTGTACATTTACTACAGGATATAGTTTCTAATTAAATCACTTGATACATGTGATTAATTGTCAACAACAACTATAACACTTTTAAAATACAATATCACTATGGCAAATATAATTCATAATTTAGATTCGTTCACAATAGAAATATGTATAATTACAATACAATATGTATCATTGTTTAGTGATTTTTGCTACACTTGGTTATAATTTTGGGTTTTTTAATTGATGGATTTGATTTATATTTGGGCAAAAGAAGACTTATAAAAGACTGACATGTTTAGTAATTTAAATGAGCTTGGCGGTCAAGGTCAAATATTGAATTTAGCTTTGACTGTCATAACGTTGGTATTTTAACTTATAAAAAAACCTTATGACACAACCCATATATGTTTCAAAACTTAAATACCACCTTGAACTTTATTTGACCTTGACCATCAATGTCAAATTATTGAAATTTGCTTATGTTCTTATAACTTTGTTTATTGATTTATTCTTGTACATATGACACAACCGATATGTTGAATTTCTCTGATAAAGACCTTTACCTTAAATTGACCTTGACCGTGATGTAATAACATGTATTTTAATTTACAAATATGATTTATACTTGGACAAAAGAACACATATGATAAAACCAAATGATGAATTTATTCTCTCATCATAAAGGTCAAATATGAAATTTGAATTATATTTTACAAAATGTTTTCTATGAGTATTTTTACATCAATGTCATTCGGAACTGCCTCGGCTATTATCTATAATAACCTCGGAAACAATACGGGTTGAAAGTAGGTCTACCACGTGGTTTCAGATTAAACTGAAACAGAGATAATGTAAAACGAATGTATATATTTGACATCTAATGTCTGTTCCGGTACACTTATGCTTGAAAATATGTCTGACAACAATTTGTAATTTAAATATGCCTACTGATGTTCAATTTTAAACAAATCCGACTAAATGTCAACTTGTTGATTTTTGTACTTTCGGTTTCTACAACCATAATAATAAATATATAAATAATGTATTGTTTGCTTTTGTACCTATGAATTCACTTATTTTAGGTGGACTTTACTAAATCTATTGGAAATAAACTTGTCAACAACTCCCAGCATTAAATTACTATTTGTTTACATGTTTAGTTTCTTAGCGTAGGTTAGACCGACATACCGCATCCGTTCTGTATATTCATACTATTATGTTCGAGCAATCGGAACTCCTCGGGCGACTTACAAGAATTCACTGGGAAAACTCCGCCATCTTTGTTTACATCAATAATTAAAATCGGTGCTTCGCCGGGCCGTATAACAATTTGGTGTATTCCTACACTTACATACGAGGTCAATCTCCGAACTTGACGGAGATTGCCGAGTTGTTACGATTGATGTTCGAGGTCCTTATCCGAAGACTGACGGAAAGGGCCGAGTAGTTGCGATTGCAACAATGTGCATGATTTTAAAAATAAGAAAAAGTCAAGCATGGTTCCCGATAGGTGGTGACTCTTTTTAGAGAATTGCATTGCTTATTAAGACTACTTGAAGACAATAAAAAGAAATATTTCGCTCTTTTAGCAATAGTTTTGAGCATTATAGGAGTTAACAACTATCAATGTTTTTATCTTAATTTTTTATCTTTTATTATTATTATTATTCAATGCATGTATCAGTATTTGGACTACGGCCAAGAAACCGTTTTTTGTGATAGTTGTACATATTACACACACAAATGGATGCCCGAGAAACCGTTGTCTATGATAGATGTACATATTACACAAGCAAATGGATGGCCAAGAAACCGTTGTCTATGATAGTTGTACATATTACACAAGCAAATGGAAGGCCAACAAACCGTTGTCTATGATAGTTATACATATTACACAAGCAAATGGAAGGCCAGGAAACCGTTGTCTATGATAGTTATACATATTACACAAGCAAATGGATGGCCAAGAACCGTTGTCTATGATAGTTATACATATTACACAAGCAAATGGATGGCCAAGAAACCGTTGTCTATGATAGTTGTACATATTACACAAGCAAATGGAAGGCATAGAAACCATTGTCTACGATAGTTGTACATAGTACACAAGCAAATGGATGGTCAAGAAACCGTTGTCTATGATAGTTGTACATATTACACAAGCAAATAGAAGGCATAGCAACCATTGTCTACGATAGTTGTACATAGTACACAAGCAAATGGAAGGCCAAGAAACCGTTGTCTACGATAGTTATACATAGTACACAAGCAAATGGATGGCCAAGAAACCGTTGTCTATGATAGTTGTACATATTACACAAGCAAATGGATGGCCAAGAAACCGTTGTCTACGATAGATGTACATATTACACAAGCAAATGGAAGGCATAGAAACCGTTGTCTATGATAGTTGTACATAGTACACAAGCAAATGGATTTCCAAGAAACCATTGTCTATGATAGTTGTACATAGTATACAAGCATATGGATTTCCAAGAAACCGTTGTCTATGATAGTTGTACATAGTACACAAGCAAATGGATTTCCAAGAAACCGTTGTCTATGATAGTTGTACAGAGTACACAAGCATATGGATTTCCAAGAAACCGTTGTCTATGATAGTTGTACATAGTATACAAGCATATGGATTTCCAAGAAACCGTTGTCTATGATAGTTGTACATATTACACAAGCAAATGGAAGGCCAAGAAACCATTGTCTATGATAGTTGTACATAGTACACAAGCAAATGGAAGGCCAAGAAACCGTTGTCTACGATAGTTATACATATTACACAAGCAAATGGAAGGCCAAGAAACCGTTGTCTATGTAATAGATATACCATTGCTGCGTTGACGATTTCTGGGTTTGCGTAAATTATACCATAATCACGTGACCTTTCTTATGCCTTGACCTCACGAGACGAAGTCGAGTGAGGTTGCATAAGAAAATCGCCGGAAACAAGCAAATGGATGGCCAAGAAACCGTTGTCGATGACAGTTGAATCTATTACACAAGCAAATGGATGGCCAAGAAACCAATGTCTATGAGAGTTGTACATATTACACAAGCAAATGGATGGCCAAGAAACCGTTGTCTATTATAGTTGTACATATTACACAAGCAAATGTACGGCCACGAAACCATTGTCTATGATAGTTTTATATATTACACAAGCAAATGTACGGCCACGAAACCATTGTCTATGATAGTTTTATATATTACACAAGCAAATGGATGGCCAAGAAACCGTTGTCTATGATAGTTATACATATTACACAAGCAAATGTACGGCCACGAAACCATTGTCTATGACAGTGTTACATATTACACAAGCAAATGGATGGCCAAGAAACCATTGTCTATTATATTTAAAAATATTTATGAAAATTAGCATGAATCAGGAGGCATGCTGCTTTGAAGTATCTATAATAAATGTGGTTATTGACTGAAGTAGTTTCAGTGCAACTGAGAGCACTATATGAAGTTCATGACTGAATCCAGGCATTTTTTATATAAAACATTTTATGAGAGACTTCGTTGTTGGATCTAAGCAGGAGCTAGTTGAACCAATAGATGAAATTTAGCCTATTCTTTAGGAAAGATCAAGGGTTTTAAACAGATGTGAAAGAATAACGTCAGAGTTTCTGTATGAATTTAAAATTTGTTAAAAACAAGAGTCAACCCCTGTTACAAAATCTATTAAATAAAGTTGTTTATCTTTCAGTCAAGAAGGCTTGTTTCCGGTATTTTTTTTTTTACACATAACAAATACTGTACGTTACACTTATCTTGTTTTTTATTGTACTATTTTTTTTCAATATTTACTATTGAAGACTACATATAATATATAAAAAGTCACGTTAGAACAGTTTTATTTTCACATATAATCATATTCAGGACACATTGTTATAAATATTCACAACGGTTCAGTTAATTTATTGAATCCTGGTATCCATACACCATTAATTTTTTCAACAAAAGTTGTTTTTTTTATTGATGTGTTAACAAAAAGGAGTCTGACTTCAAAAATATTTTATGATGTCTTGGAAATTTCCTATTACAATATAATAGATATAATATTAAATAATCTAGATCTTGATTTATACTTAATAAAGCGAAAATCTGCAATATGTTTTATTTTAATAAAAACTAGAAATGTGTCCATAGGTCAGGGATGCCCCCACACTCCATTGATTTGTCAATCTTATGTCTCTAGGTCAAATATTTTTTGGGCTAAATGAGTTGAAAACTAAAAATATTTTATTAAGTAAAGGGCAAATACTACAAATACTGAATAAATCCACAAGAAAACCCCAGGGTGAATAAGTACACATGCTGACCAACATTCTTGATAACTTTCAGGCCTACAGGTGAAATACTTTTTGAGTTACGTGCAACACAAGTTGAATAGTTTAATTTTTTACTATGTCAAGGGCAATAACTCTAAAAATACTAAAAGTATCCACACGAAAATATCAAGGTGCACAACTACACATGCTGAGCAACATTCTTGTAAGGTTACATGACTCAAGGTCAAATACTTTTTTAGTTACGTGCGACACAAGTTGAAAATTGGAAATCTTTACTAATTCAAGGACAGTAACTCTAAAAATACTCAATATATCCACACAAAAATACCCAGGTGCACAACTACACATGCTGATCAACATTCCTGTAAGGTTTTATGACTCTAGGTCAAATATTTTTGAGTTACGTGCGACACAAGTTGAAAATTGCCAGTTTTTACTAAATCAATGGCAATAACACATAAAATACCAAAAATATCCACACGAAAATACCCAGGTGCACAACTACATATGCTGAGCAACATTCTTGTAAGGTTTCATGACTCTAGGTCAAATACTTTTTTAGTTACGTGCGACACAAGTTGGAAATTGGAAATTTTTACTAAGTCAAGGGCAATAACTCTAAAAATACTTAATATATCCACACAAAGAAACCAAGGTGCACAACTTCACATGCTGATCAACATTCCAGTAAGGTTTCATGACTCTAGGCTAAATATTTATTGAGTTACGTGCAACACAAGTTAAAAATTGCAAATTTTTACTAAGTCAAGGGCAATAACTCTAAAAAAACTAAATATATCCACATGAAAATACCCAGGTGCACAACTTCACATGCTGTTCAACATTCCTGTAAGGAGGTCAATTACTTTTTGAGCTACGTGCGACACAAAAAGAGGACGGAAGGACGGACAGACGGATGGACGGACGGACAAGGGCAAATCTACACCCCCGGGCACAAAAATATGTTCCCGCCTGTTTTCTAGTTTTTAACCAATCAGACACTTCCCCAGTGGGCATATTCAATTGACTTGAGTAACTATAGTTTTCCTATTGAACATGTCATAGCTTAAGGAAGTTTTTTTTTCAGAGCGTGTCATTGCAGGCTTTTTATTTTTGGAAACACTATGATGTGTGTATTTTGCTTTGTTCAAAGAAATTGTATTTATGAATTGTTAGTTTCGCATACTTCGGCAGGAAATCAGTAATCGATATGTTGTTTACTTACAGTGTCTATTGATACAAGGCTAAGTTTTATGTTTCAGAAATGAGCTGTTTATTCACAAACATTTCTTAAAAATGAAATAGGTGAAAATAGTTATGTACTTTCCGTTTCATGTTTTGACTTACAAAAAAAATATTAAATACTGTCCATGTAGAAATGTGTTTTTTGATTTTTATTACCTGTAATGAATTCTTATAAATATTTTTATGTCCCCAGAAAGTTTTAAGTTTTTGCTTTGTCTGAAAGTTTGTCAAATTTTGTAAAAAATCATTCCGTTATATTGTGTTATGCGTTTTTGAGTGCTTGAGTTAGAATCAACCAACTTAACAGGAATAATGATCAAAACAATGTGAACCTGTGAACCTGGTGTTTTGCATGTGTATTTTTAGTTTTGTAAGAGTTATTGTCCTTGACTTATAATAAATTTTCAATTTTCAACTTGTTCATGCATAGCTCAAAAAGTATTTGACTCTAACATTAGCACGCTTTAATGCTATGTTTAACGCAAATGATGTCATGTCAAAGTGTAATTACACTAGTGTAATATCGTTTTACTAAATGGCTTTATTATACTCCTGCAACGCGTTTTATGTAACAAACTACCCAAAAAATATCAACAGGTATGGGATTTGTTTGATTCATTGATCTTTTTATTTTTGGCGACACTATGAAGTTTTAAATCGTATGTAGTATCTATTTCTTTCAAAGAAATTATATTTTTCAGCGAATTGTTAGTTTCACATATTTTGGCGCTAAGTTTTATGTTTCCACTAAAACAGAAATGAGCTGTTTGGGTTACTATTTACAAACATTTCTGAAAAATGATATAGGTCAATATATTTATTTACTTTTCGTTTCACGTTTCGACTTACAAAAACTGTGAACAATTGTCAATGCAGAAATGGGTTCTTTGATTTTTATTGCCTGTAATGAATAATTATCAATATTTCATGTCCCCCAAGAAGTTAAAAAATTTGCTGTGTCTGAAAGTTTGTCAGAAATTTTGTATAAACCGTTCCATTATGAAGTGTTATGTGTTCTTTGAAGTTAGAATCAACCGGCTAAACAGGCCTGAAAGTCTACAAGAATGTTGGTCAGCATGTGTACTTATGCATCTTGGGGGTTTGCTTGTGGTTTTATTCAGTATTTGTAAAGTTATTGCCCATGATTTAGTAAATGATTTTTACTTTTCAACTTGTGCCACATGTGCCCAAAAATATTTGACCTAGAGTCATAAGATTGACAAAACAGTGGAGTGTGGGGCATCTGTGTCCTATGGACACATTTCTAGTTGTTTTTGGTGACACTAAGAAAGTCCAGATACTTTTATTACAGAGGGATAAGAAGCTCTAAAAGTAAAAATTTTCAAATCCTGACCCACAATCCCGAGAATTCATTGGGTCTTGGAGTTGATCAGTTGCCGCCATCTTTGTTTCACATAACCTAATTTGTTTACATTTTCATCTATTACAGAGAATAATTGACAGTGTCTTGATCTTTATTACTTTTTGTGACGCCTCTACGGAATAGTGGTGACATATAGGGATCACTTCTCCGTCGTCTGTGTCCGTCCGTCCGTTCGTCACAAAATTTATCTGGACTACTCTTCATAAACTACTGGTGCAATTTCATCCAAACTTAACAGGAATCATCAGTAACGAGTCTAGATTTGATATCGTCCGCAGCTTTTGATTCAATGATTTTTGTGAGTTATTGCCCTTTAATAATTTTTATTTTTAAAGATTGTCCGTACTCATGTTATACGACTTATGAAATTTCAATGAAACTTTACAGTATTGATCTACAGCTTAATTCCTTGCACATATTGCACAAGTTTTCCGATTGAATGATTTTTGGCTGAGTTATGGCCCTTGAGTATAAAAGGTGTTTTTGTGTGTTGCAAGATACACAAAAGCTTGTTCAGACTTCTTCTAAAAAAAACTACTAGTGCAATTTCATCCGAACTTTACAGGAATGAGCAGTACCAAGGCTAGTGTTGCATATGATCGGCTTATTATGGTTCAATGGATTTTGTCGGATTTATCACCGTTTATTTTTTTATGTTTTAAAAGTTTGTTCAGTACCCCTAATGCAATTTCAATGAAACTTTACAGGATTGATTGGTAGGTCAGAAACTTGCGCATACACGGGTTTTTTGCTTAAATGATTTTTGGCCCAGTTATGGCCCTTGAATGAAAAGAGTGTTGATACAGTTTGTCTGGACTACTCATCTTATATCACTGATGAAACTTTAATGAAACTTTACCGGATTGTTTGGTAGGTCAAGTTCTTGTGCAGTGGACACCAGTTTTTTGCTTGAATGATGTTTAGATGATTTATTGCCCTTGAATAAAAAATGTGTTTTTGTGTTGCCAGCTACACAGAAGTTTGTCTGGACTACTTCTCAGAAGCTACTGCTGCAATTTCATCAAAACTTTAGGGAAATGATCAATGACAATACCATGTCTAGTTGTACATCTCATCAACATTTATCGATTCATTGATTTTTGTCAGAGTTTTGGCCCTTTCTTGATTTTAATTTTGAAACTTGTTCAGATTACTCCTGTTGTACCACTAATGCAATTTTAATGAAACTTTACAGGATTGATCGATAGCTCAAATTCTTGCGCACATTACACAGGTTTTTAGGTTAAATGATTTTTACCCGAGTTATGGCTATCATGAGGCGACACATCACTGATTGCCCTTGCTTATACATTTTTGTAAATTCTTCTTTGATTACCACATCAAATTTTAGATAACATGGCAGCGTACATATATACAATATATACATGTATAGGTAAAATTTCTTGTGTCAAACGTGATCTCGTAAAATCTCGCAAGAATGTGAACTTGCGTGATAATAAATCCTTGATACAGATTTTATTTGTTTGACGTGGTAGTATAAATATTTATTTCCTTAAAAGGAATTATATTTATCAGTGAATTGTAAGTGGCACATATTTTGGCAGGAAATCAATTTTCAGTATATTATTGACTTACAGGATTTATTGGTGCAAAGATGACTTTTCAGTTTCAGGTAAATTAGAAATGAGCTGTTTGGGTATTTACCAACTTTTTTTAAACACAATAATTAAATAGGTCAAAATATTTATGTACAATGTACTTTCTTTTCATGTTGTGCCCCCAGGTGTTCGGCACGTGGCTATGATGTACACTATGCCCCTGTTCCCCTCTGCAAACAAAAACTCTTAAACATCATCTAAACATCAGGAATATTGACAAAAGTCAATTATATGAAAAAGAAAATTAGACTCTAAAATCGAACACTAATGGTTGTGCGAATTGTCAATGCAGAATCAGGTTTTTTTCGGTCTTAGCTCACAAGAACATGTCAAGCTCAAGGTGACCTAGTGTCATCATTCACCGACCTGCGTTCATCTGTCCACACTTCTTTTAACAACATCTCCCAAACCAGAAGGTCAAAACTTGCGAAATGGACCACCATAAATATATTTAAAAAATAATCCTGGGGTCAAAATTGGCCAAGCCTTAAGTGGGGTCATGGGTTTTCCTTGTATGTATATAGTAAAGTCTATAAAAAAAGACTTCTGTGAAACAGTAAAGGCATGAAACATCAACTTTTAGGCTTCTACCAAGCTTGTTCAAAGTCAAAATAATGTGATGTCTTTGAATTCTTATCACCAAAGATTTATAGTATTTTACGGTGTCCGACAGTCTGTCTGTCAGAAATTGTGTCCTGCATAATGGTTGGTCACTTTATATCACATTCAAGCACGCACAATTACTATATAATAATAATAATAATAATAATAATAATAATAATAATAATAATAATAATAATAATAATAATAATAATAATAATAATAATAATAATAATAAATCTTTATTTATAGTAGGTAACATACAAAGTTTACAGTAACAAGTACACTTATTTTCAGTATGGCCTTCTGATTTAACAATAACAAAGAAAGAAATGTAGATCTATACAAATATTTAAAATCTTTTGGTATACATGTATATATAAAAATTTCTTTATATTTTTTGATGTAAAGGTTAGATAATTTTTATTCATTCATCCGACTGAAACTCATATAAATTAGAGTAATTATAGATAAACTCGTAATAATTAAAAAAGAGAAAAAAATGATGATATCAACTATGATGCTGTGGTCACAGACGCTTGGGGGCCAGATGATGTTCCAAACGTGATACGCCTTTGTAAAAAATGAAAAAATACCGTATACCATCAAGTCACAATATAAAGTATATACGGTAATTTTTTCATACAAGTAAAAATTGTTTGAAAACAAGTTTTATCTTTGTAACAGATGTCCAATTCGTGTTTAAATATTAAAATATTTTTGATATAGCGTTACAAGGGCGTATCACGTTGGGGGCAGGATCTGACCCCAAGCGCCTGAGGCTGTGATCTGATACCACTCTCATCCAGAGTGTACCACTTACCCCCAAGTCCCTGCTATAACCCAAAACATTATTAAATAAAAGTAGTATTTTCAGCCCTCTGTTAAAAACTTTGTAGTGACAGTTAGAACTATAAAAGAATGATTATCATGATGAAATCTCATCATTTTTTAAGCTGGACTTTTGTTCGATGGATTTGTTTGTTTGTTTGTTTGTTTCATTTTACGCCTTTTCCCAACAGTATTTCAGTCATATAGGCGGGTAGTTTCCTAACCATCGTTCCTGGAGAGTAACACCAGTACTAGACTACCTTCCTCCGTGCTAAAATACCAAAGCATATCCCGGGGATTGAACCCACGCCAGAGAGGTAACTGGATTAGAAGTCATCGACTCTAACCCCTCGACCAAAATAGAGGTATTGTTACAGTCAATGCGGCATTAAAATGTAAAAATGAAAAAAAAAGAGCGTTGCGTCAGCCCGGCGGTGACTCTTGTTTAGTTTCTGTTTGTTAACTAGGTTTTCAATTTTGAAAATCCTGGTTAATATTTGTTTTGTTTTGCCTCTAACAAATAATGGGAAGTAACTATGATTAAAAACTTTAAATTTGAATACATGTATTCCCTCCCTTAGAAAAATTTATTTGCTTGATTTTTTTCAAGGGTCGCTTGTGTTTGTTGAAGATAATGACGAGTTATTGAATTAAGAACATGGCTTTCAATTTTTCAAAATGTTGGCTACTTGAGTTGCCAAATGATGTGCTGTGAACATGGAATATAGGAGCGTTATTTTAAACAAACATACAAAATTGCAGTTATATATTATGACATTTTCTTCCCTGTTTCTTTCCAACTTTAAATCTACAGTTTGGAAAATAATGTCACGGTTTGGAAATGTTCACTTAGGGAGAGTATGTGGAAGCGGCTTGAAAGCTCAGTTGGTAGAACTGTATTCCGAGTGTCCCGGGTTCGAGTCCTGGTCAGGCTGCACATTTTTCTCACCCTGTGACAAAATACTGTTGGCACAGTAAGCCAGTACTGTTGGCACATTAAGGCAGGCACTTAACACAATGCCATATAAATATTTATGTATTTAAATTGTCTGGTTAACTTTTGTTTAAAAAGAAAAAGGAAAATTTTCTGTCAACTAATCTTTAATTTTGTTTTGTGTATATTTCAGATACACAAGGCACCTGGTAGATGCTGGTAATGGAAAGTTCAACTTGATGATTCTCTGTTGGAATGAGGCCAAGGGTTCCAGCTTGAGAAACAGTAACGGTCATTGACTTCGTAATGTTATTTACAAGTTGTACGTTATTATGACGTTGACGTCAATATTTTTTTGGAGTGCGCCGCTGTCGCCGACATGTGTTTATGTAAAATTAAATATTGTTGTATTCTAATTAAGAAGCTAGTAACATGATTCTTTTGTTTATATTTTCTTTATTCTTCTAAGCAGTGTAAGATTTTCAAAACAATATCTCAAATATATTTTACGCAACAATGAAAGTCCACAAATTTTTGGATAATCCCTCGTACAATGTATATGCCATTTTCCTTTCAACTGAGGGTTCCGCCATCAAGGTTGCTGTATCTTAAGGCAAATCTGTTAATGCAAAATTTTACAAGACAAAAGTTCTTCCAAAACTAAACACATATTTTTGAAAACGAAGACTCATAACAGGTTTGGCCAATGTCAGATTGCTGCATCACTACGCATCATCGGAAAAGACGTCTATATAGAGGATATTGAATGAGTGTAGTTTAATACTAAATTTATTCAACGAGTTCAATAAATTTAGTATTGAATCTACACGAATATAATATTCTTTTTATCACATACATAAAATAAGAACACTTAACTGTTAAAATGAGTAATTTTTCAACGACGCGTTTATAGTGTAACGCTAACATTAGCGCGCTTTAACGCTATGTTTTTATTTCATGCTTTCCAGTGTTTTATTGTAATATATCAGATGATTATATTCTGATAAACCACTAGTGAAATTTATAAAATATAATTTTCACTGTAGCCGGACTATATCTGAATGCGGATGAACAGAAAATCATCACTAAATGGAATAACAGGCAGAAATAAATGCCGTCATACGTAAATTTTGCTTCTTTAGGAAATGAAAGTCAATGTCATCATAGATCATGTTAGAAATTTAACAAAATTAGAGAAATTCAACGGAACTAGATTTCAAAACTGATGATGTGACGTCATGATATATATGACGTCACAAAGGAGAATGCGCGACGTTACGCGGCAAAATCAGTAAAAAATTACTTAAAATCGCTGAAAAAGCATAAAATAAAAAGAAAATTTATTTGTTTTACATATAAGATTGAAATATATCTCATTCGTGAACACCAGCTATTATATTTTCACTCGTGGCTACGCCACTCGTGAAAATATTGCATCTGGTGTTTACTCAGTGAAATTATATTTCAATCTTACATGCAAAACAAACAAATATCCTCTATATATATAGCGCAAATGACGTCACGTCAAAGTGTTATTACACTAGTTTATTTTATGCTTTTCAGTGGATTACTGATTTATCCGTGAAAATTATATTTGGTAATTTCACAGTGAAAATTATCAAAATATAATTTCACTTTTTTCAATGACGAAACTACTTTTTTAAGATTTTCCCCATGTGGTACCTCAATTTTATTTTTGCTGACAATTCTGACAATGTCAGGCTGTTTAAAGAAAAAGGAAAGCTGAAATTGATAAATACCTTAAACAACATATACTGAATTCAAAATAATTAAACAAGTACTTTTTTATAAAATTTTGAAAGAGGTTTAAGTCAAATACTTAAAGATTTTTTTTTTATATGATTTGTAATAAATATTTGTATGTATGTATGTATGTATGTATGTATATTTGCATGTATGCATGCATGTGTGTATGTATTTATGGATTTGTTATAGTGTGTGCGCGTGTGTGTGCGTGCGTACGTGTGTGCATGCATGCATATGTATATGAAATTTATTATTAAAGGAAAAAATATGCAAAAGATCAAACATCATAAATCACTCTGAAATCTAATCATACTTAACATAAAAATTTGTTATCTGTTATATAAAGTCTACAGGAAACGTAAATCATACTGAAATATAAAAATACATGGATCAATCTACACTCCTCTTGTAAAATGAAACATAGTTGTCATTTTCTTTTCTTTTCTGTTTATGTGAATGTCCTAAGTGACTCAGTTTTAATTTTAAGGTTTTATGGTTGTATACTCATACTTGTAATGCCTGTTTCTTCAATATGGAAACTACAATAGCTACATTAAATGTTAGAGGGTTAGGAAATAATAGGAAACGAAAACAAATCTTTGAATGGCTTGATTTACAACCTTATTCTATTTATATGTTACAAGAAACCCATTCAACAAATCAATCAGAATCATGGAAAAATGAATGGAAAGGTATGTCTTTCTTCAGTGGAAATAAATCAAACAAAGAAGGTGTTGCATTTCTTATAAAAGATAATTGTAATGTAAAAATTCTGAATAAAAAAGAACTAATAATAGGAAGATTAATAGTACTTGAAGTAACAATAAATGAAAAAGCTTTTACCATGTTGAACATTTATGGCCCAAATGATGATAACATGAGCATTTTTCAAATGCTCGAAGATTTTATTCTTGAAAACGATGAAAATAATTTTATAATCGGTGGCGACTTTAATACAGTGATAAATACAAATATCGATAAAAAGAATGGAAAACCTCAAACAAGTAGAAAATGTCGAGATAAAATAAAAAGTATGTTAGAAACATGTAGCTTATGTGATATTTGGCGCATAAAACACCCTGAAAAGAGACAATTTACATGGCATTCAAATGGAAAACCAGTTATATATTGCCGATTAGATTATTTTTTAGTATCTGACGTGCTATGTAACGTCATTTCAAAAAAGTAATATTTCACACGGATATAAAACAGATCACTCTTTAGTAACTTTAACAATAAATGATAATGCAATGACAAAAGGGCCTGGCTATTTTAAATTGAACAATTCTTTATTACTAGATGAAAAGTACCAAAGTCAAATAAAAGCAACTATAATCTCAATAGCAGAAATAAATATAGCATGCAATCCAAATACTCTATGGGAGGTTATAAAGGGAGCAATAAGAAATGAAACAATTCGATATGCAAGTCAAAAGAAAAAGAAAGAAAAAGAAAATGAGTCAAATTTGATGAAAGAAATAAAACAATTAGAAGAAAAAATACTAACTACTAGCAATAATGAACAAAACAATGAAAATAAATTACATAAAGAAATGATATCTAAAAAGCAAGAACTTGAACAAATTTATGAATACCGTGTAAATGGCTCGATTTTGAGAGCACGTGCTATTCACATAGAACAAAATGAAAAAAAATAGTAAATACTTTTCTAACTTAGAAAAGAAGCATGCGGAGAAAAAAATTGTACACAAGTTAAAAATAGAAAAATAATGAAATTACAGACGCAAAACAAATATTAAAAGAAGAAAAATCATTTTTTTGAAAATTTATACAAATACAGAGCCCCACAAAAATCAAATCTAAATTTTTTTTAATACAGACATTAAATCATTAAATGAAGAAGAAAAGTGCATATGTGAAGGAATATTAAATGAATATGAATGTAAAATAGCTTTATCAGAAATGAAAAACAACAAAAAGTCCAGGATCTGATGGCTTAACCGTCGAGTTTTATAAGACATTTTGGAATAGCATCAAAAAATATTTTCTTGATTCGATTAATTACTCTTTTCAAATATCAAAACTAACAACTCTTCAAAGACAAGGAATTATATCCCTTATACCAAAGCCAGAAAAAGATCTTACAGATATATCAAACTGGAGACCAATAAGTTTGCTTAACGTGGATTATAAATTAGCAACAAAAACTATTTCTAATCGCATCAAAAAAGTTTTGCCAACTATAATTAGTTTCAATCAAACAGGTTTCATGAAAACCGTTACATTGGTGAAAACGTAAGGATGATTTTTGAAATAATTGAATATCTTCAAAAAGAAAACAAACCAGGTTTATTATTCTTTGCCGACTATGAAAAAGCATTTGATAGTTTAAATCATCAGTTTATCTTTAATACTCTTCAAAAGTTCAATTTTGGTAAAGATTTTATACAATGGGTCAAACTTTTTTACACTGATATTTCAAGTATTATTGTAAATAATGGTCATTTCTCAGAACCTTTTACCATAGAAAGGGGTGTTCGATAAGGATGTCCTTTATCATCATCATTATTCATCGTCTGTTTAGAAATTTTATCCAATTACATAGAAAAAGATAGTGAAATAAAAGGAATAAAAGTTGAGGACAAAGAAATAAAACAATCCTTCTTTGCAGATGATGCAACTTTCGTAAACGATGGTTCAGTTAAGTCTTTCGAAAAACTTGTCTATGTGATATCAGAATTTAGTAAAATTTCCGGTTTAAACCTTAATTCAAAGAAATCAACAATATTACGAGTCGGGTCATTTAAAGATACTAACATAGAATATTGTAAAAATAGAAAATTTAAGTGGACATCTGATTCAGCAAAAACATTAGGCTTTTTATTTTCGTCAGATTACAAGAAAAATACAAACATAAATTTAGAACCTAAACTTCAAGATTTTTTCAATTGCTTAAAGCAGTGGCAACACAGAAAGCTTACGTTAATGGGAAAAGTAATAGTGATAAAAACTTTTGCATTGCCAAAAATTAATATATCCTTTTTCAGTTTTAGCAAACCCATCCAATGATAAGATGAAAGAAATAACTAAAGCGATGTTTCACTTTCTATGGGCAGGAAAACCAGAAAAAATAAAAAACGCAAAACTTAAAACTTAATATAAAAAATGGTGGACTAAAAATGATAGACATTACATATTATCTTAATGCAGTAAAAGCAAGCTGGGTAAAAAGGTATATAAACAAAGAAAATGAGAGTTCATGGAAACTTTTTGTAAAACACAAGATAAAGCAAAATGGAAATGATTTTATCTTCCAGTGTAAATCTTTCAAAAAATGATATCAATAATTTATATCCACATAATTCGTTCATGAATAATGTTCTTTCGTCTTGGTTTCACATTCAGCATGAGCACAATAAAAACAAAGATAATGTTAAAGACATAGTATGGAATAATTCTAGCATTAAAATTGACAACAAACTGGTTTATTATAAAACATGGCATGATAAAGGCATACTTTATATAGAACATTTTTATGATTATAGGAGAAAAGCCTTTTATAAATATGATGATTTTAAAGAAATTTACGGAATAGAAAATGCTGATTATTTAAGATACTTTATGCTAATAAACAATATACCAAAACAATACCTTGAGAACCTAAAAAAATAACACAACTTATATGGAAGAACAAGATACGCTTCTCAA